CCCAGGGTGATTTTCAAGTCACCAGGTTTGAGCCTCAAACCACTGTTTGCCGTGTGGGAGTCCAGTGCCTTAGTCGTCATGCCACCTGCCGGCCCTGGTACCATGTCTCTTTCCAGAGCTTAGTTTCGGCATTGATATGTGACACCATTTTGATCAATGAGATGGGAGAGGAAGCCTCGTTGAGGTTGTCCCTTCTGAGAGAGATGAACACAGGAAGAGAGAGTCTTTTTTTTTTATTTTTAAGTTTTTTTTTGCCATGGGATATGCACACTTGCTAGAGAGCACTGACAAAGACAGAGAGGAGGAAAGTGAGGAATCACTGCCTGGGGGGCATGGCCACACCACAATCCTGTCTCCTCCATTCTCATCTGGGAGTTTTAGACACAAGCGAACATGTACCCAGTACCCCCAGGTCCAGGGCTTGACCTGTGGTCAGCCACGTGGGAGTCCAGTACCTTAACTACCATGCCACCTTCTGGCCCTGAGAGAATCTCTTCTTCCTCAGCAGTTTCTTGTGTTGAGGTGTGATGCCTGGAATGGTGTAGCCATTAAGGAGTCAGACTGTGACAAAACTGACAGGCTGAGGATGGCAGGACAGAAAGATTGCAGCCTCAGGAACCAGCAGTTAGCGTAATGGCTATGTTGCTGGACTCCCACGTAGTTGACAGCGGTTCACGTCCCGGACCCGGTGGCTTAAAACTCACGCCGGGTGCGTGTGCGTGTGTACCCAAGATCTCAAGAGGAGAATGGAGGAGAAGGGATTGCGACATGACCATCCCCTCTGGGGGGTGATTTCTCACTTTCTGTCCCTATGTCTCTCTCTGTCTGGCGAGCGCACATGCCCTATAGCGAAAACCTCTCCGAAAAAAAAAAAAAAGAGAGAGAAAAGAAAGATTGCAGCCTCTCGGGCCTTCGTTTGTGTTTTCAGCCACTAAATTAGTCAATATAAGAAGCTCTGTATTTGGGGACTCATTTTGCAATATAATAAATTTGTATTTTATACCAATATGGACTATAACTCTCTGTAACTTTTAGTTGAAAAGCATTGCAAATGACCTATTTCTAGCCCAAGAAGTTGTATATCTATGATAGAGGTATGGTTTTTTATAATGAAGTATGATTATTTTGTGTTCTTTACACAAAGTATCTCATATCACATAAATTGTTTTTTATTCAATATTTAGTTTAGGGGCTCTGGGCCATGTTACTACATCGTAAGTATTGTGTGAAAACCGCACGGCTCCCTTGTCCAGGTACTCGTGGATGGGCATGTAGGTTAGAGTTTTCACTGTTGCAGCAGTACCGCAGTCACTGTCCTGGAGGTAATGCCGTGTGTGCAGACTGACCATTTCTCCAAGCCTGTGCTGTCCAGTACAATAGCCATGAGCCAAATATAGCGATCAGAATCAAAATGCATTCAAATAAAAAATTTGGGTCCTTGGGTGCATTAGCTCTGTTTTCAGTGCTCAGTAGTTACATGTGGCTGCTGGTTACCGTGTGAGACAGCGTAGACACGGAACGGACCGTTCTGCTGTTGGGGTGGGTTCTGCACGCAGCACGGCTGTGGGACATAGCACGGCTGTGGGACAGCGCTTCCCAATAGCTCCCACCACGCGGCTCGCACAGAAAAGGGTATTTGTCCCGCTCGCCCACAGACCCTGACAAAGTTGCTCAAGGTTGGAGGAGACCGGTTCAG